TAGCACTGAAAGCTGATATATTGGTATGAGACATCCTGTACATGACCTCAACAGCTATAGGATTTTTTTTTTTTTACAGACAAATTTGCAAGTATATACTATTCACCATATTAATCACTGATACATATAGTGTTGCTACATGATAGTGCAAATGTCTATTGTGTCTTAAGCCACATTTCAGTAAGAATACAGGAGGTTTTCTTTAATGAATCTCCCAAATGCCAAGTCATCATAATAGAAGTGTTTGCTTAGGGATGTAATAAATACATTACATGCACACAAATTAATTAAACTTATGTTATACTAGTCACCACATAGCACCTATTACTGAAGCAAACATATCCCAAAAAGATGCCTAACACACGGATAAATGTTTCCTGTAAGGGGTCAGCTCACAAGAAAAGGTTACTGCATGTGCAACTTGCTATGCAAGACCCCTCCTACAACCAGTTTCAGTAAGACTCGAGTGTTTCCAGAGTCGCGTACAACTTCGTCGAGGCTGCAAAACTCGTGTACTTCAATTTCCGTAAAGACTAAAGTGTTCCAACCATCAGGTACAATTTCATAAAGGCTGTAGCACCAAATTGTCTCAAGTTTTCTCACCAGCTCTTGTCCTGGAACAAGTCGAGAGGTCAAATCCAGTGACTTCCGACACGAGTATTCGATAAGTCATCGACACGACACTCGTACGCGTACGATGCAACTTCAACAACAATAAACCATCTCAGACCACTAATCACCCAACAAAAGGCTGCAGTCGGAATGATAACAAATTCCAACTACAGACAACACACTCCACCAATATTCAAAACTCTAAACCTACTCACAATTCAAAACATCCATACTTATTACTGCACCTACTACATACATACATACATACATACTTAACTCTGACATAAACCCTCCCCTCAAACATCTCCTTACCAACCTTAACAGAACACATGACCATAACACAAGGCACAGATCACTCTTTGATGTTCCTCGTGTCCATCTCACACTATGCAAAAACTCAATGCACATAAAAGGCCCTAAATTCTGGAATTCATTACCAGTGAATGTAAAAGAAACACTGTCTGTTTATAAATTCAAGTCTCTTCTCAAAAATTACTTACCCACAACTAAATAAATACTGAATAATTGTATCTCATAAATTGTATCTTATACAGTGGACCCCCGCATACCGATGGCATCACATAGCGATTAATCTGCATACCGCTTGCTTTAATCGCCAAAATTTTGCCTCACATACCGCTTAAAAACCCGCTCACCGATTTTCGTCCGAGACGCGTCCAATGTGCGGCCTGAGCCACGCTCACATGTTCCGCCGGTGGCATTGTTTACCAGCCAGCCTCCGCGGTGACATCCAAGCATACAATCGGAATATTTCGTATTATTACAGTGTTTTCGGTGCTTTTTCTGGAAAATAAGTGACCATGGGCCCCAAGAAAGCTTCTAGTGCCAACCCTACAGCAATAAGGGTGAGAATTACAATAGAGATGAAGAAAAAGATCATTGATAAGTATGAAAGTGGAGTGCGTGTCTCCGAGCTGGCCAGGTTGTATAATAAACCCCAATCAACCATCGCTACTATTGGTGGTAACAGCCTGCTGCTGCTGCTGCTGCACTGTCAGCTGCTGCTGCTGCTGCACTGTCAGCTGCTGCTGCTGCTGCTGTAGCATCGTCTGCTGCTGCTGTAACATCGTCTGTTGCTGCTGTAGCGTCGTCTGTTGCTGCTGTACCACCGTCAGCTGCTGCTGCTGCTGTAGCATCGTCTGCTGCTGCTGTAACATCGTCTGTTGCTGCTGTAGCATCGTCTGTTGCTGCTGTACCACCGTCAGCTGCTGCTGCTGCTGTAGCATCGTCTGCTGCTGCTGTAACATCGTCTGTTGCTGCTGTAGCATCGTCTGTTGCTGCTGTACCACCGTCAGCTGCTGCTGCTGCTGTAGCACCGTTGTTGGTGTGGCTTATTGAGAATACCAAGAAACAATTAACCCCAGAGGATTTGCCACCCAGGATAACCCAAAAAAGTCAGTGTCATCGAAGACTGTCTAACTTATTTCCATTGGGGTCCTTAATCTTGTCTCCCAGGATGCAACCCACACAAGTCGACTAACACCCAGGTGAACAGGGAAAAATGCCTGGAACTAGTGCTCATATTGGTGAATTTAAAGCCAGCAAAGGTTGGTTTGAGAGATTTAAGAATTGTAGTGGCATACACAGTGTGATAAGGCATGTTCTGGAAGAAAATGCCAAACAGGACCTACAGTACTCAGGAGGAAAAGGCACTCCCAGGACACAGTGTCTCATCAGTCATTGCTGCATCTTCAATAAAGGTAAGTGTAATTTATTCTTCATTTAGTAGACTAGTACATGCACAATATATACTGTGCATGTACTACTCTACTATTGTGCATGTATCCTTCTCTTTGTGTGTGGGAAAATGTATATTTCATGTGGTAAAAATCTTTTTTTTTCATACTTTTGGGTGTCTTGCACGGATTAATTTTATTTCCATTATTTCTTATGGGGAAAATTCATTCACATACCGATTATTTCGCATAACAATTACCCCTCTTGCACGGATTAAAATCGTTATGCGGGGGTCCACTGTATATGTATCTCATTATTGTATCTCATAAATGTCAACCTGTGACCCAATCAAACTTTGTTACTATTTAACTTCATTACCTAACAGAATACTCCATTCTACTGATTACACAGCAACACAGTAAATGACCATATGACCTGTCTTTGTAATACTCATTTGTACTAAATTGTTATCTGTTTACAATAATGTTTTACCTCTGAATACTTCATTGCTTAGTTAATCTTAAGTTAACTTTAAGCCTGCCCGTAATGCTATGCATTCAAGTGGCTTTGGCATGCTGCATTTAACTGTATTCTTTTGTACTTCACTATATCATGTTCAAATAAATAAATAAATAAACGTACGACCTTAATTCATTCCTGAAGGCTCTTCGAGTGCTGCTCCATTTGATTATCTGACAAGGATGTTACCCACACCACTCCACTAACACCCAGGATGTGACCCACGCCAGTTCCTCGAGGAACAATCCTCTCCGACTCGACAGATATTCTGTAGACTTCGTCACGCCAGTCATCTCTGACTCGCCTGTGCAAGACACTGCCGGACGCATTTTCGACGTCGTCTCTACCTCCGCATCCGCCGCTCCGTGGGTAGATTGGAAAATTTAAGGAATGCCCACAACCAGGGTAGGGTTACTCAGGGCAAGAAAGGTTAGCCAACCTGGATAGCCCAGGTTGCTAAGTAAGACAGACACATATGCAACAGTTAGATACTATCTTTATTCCAAAATGTTTGGCCTCTGCAGTTTTGAGGGGGTCAGTCCTTCAGCCTGGAGAAAAGTATTTATTCCATAGTATGAATTATCTTAGTATATAAACCACTGCCCAGCAACTGCTATCTGGCTATTTTAATCTCCCTCGTGTAAAATGGCACAACACAAAGTTATACCTGAAATATCTCAGGGAAAAGCACCCTGGCTCAACAGGCACAAACTGAAGCTTTGTGAAAAGTACACACTGAACCAACAGATAAACAATCCCACCAGGGATTTGATATTCACAAACAAAAAACTAATCAAAGACAATTACAATAACAATATACTCTGAGCACAACAAACAAGTATTAACTCAGGGTGTGGGAACTGCAATATCTTGAGCAAGTTCAATTTCAACAACCATAGAAATGACTGGAAAAAAAATAAACCAAGAGCTATCAGACACGAATGCATTAAATCCTCACCAGTGCCCGGACAAGCTCAATACTAGGTCTGTATTAAACACGTACCGTTGAGGAAACCCAGATCAGATACAGCGTACGAGATGGTACAATAGAAAACAACTTGGGATATCTCACCTGAGTACAAAAACAACAAAAGGCCATATTGCGAGATGCCCAAAATATTTCTACTAGTATGCAAAATCAAACAATTGCCTATAGAATTCGACCGTAATCGACGAGACTCGTATACAGACGATGAACAGAAAATGAGTGAAATTCTAAGAGAACAATATCAGTCGGTTTTCAGCAACCCACTAAATGACAGCAAGAAACAATTTTCACTCCATCACAAGGCTGCACACACCAACTGATATTGTACAAATCCCACAGATTAAAAAAAAAAAAAATGCCCACTCAGCACCTGGACAAGATTCAGGGAATCCTCTATTTATAAACAAGTGCAAGGTACCGCTAGCACGAGCCCTCGGTATTCTTTGGAGAAAGAGCCTACATCTAGGTGAAATACCACAGACCTTAAAGAGTGCAGACAGCTCCTTCGCATAAGGCAAGTAATACATCACTAGCTAAATATTACATCAAAAAAATATTCAAAAAAGTGATGAGACAGCAGATTACAAATTTCTTGGACCGGCATAACCCACACCACTGGTGTTTGAGCAGGACAATCATACCTGTCACAGCTCCTGAACCACTATGACAGAATCACAAACATGTTACAAGATGACCAAAGTGCAAATGTGATACACACAGATTTTGCAAAAGTGTTTGTTTCACAAATGTCATCATGGAGTAATAGTGCACAAAAAAGAAGGCCACAGGCACTACAAGGAAGGTAAGAAGGTGGATTTTCAAGTTCCTAACACACAACACAAAAAAAAGTAGTAAACAGCAACAACACTCAATTCCCCAAATTACTGTTCTGGTACCTCTGCTGTTTCTCATCCTCATAGCATACATAAAAACACCCTGCATAGTTTTGTTTCATTTGCAAATGACACTAAAATAAGAATAATAGTCACTGAAAAATTACAGTGAAAAACAACAATATAACAATATAACAACAACAATATAACATTCAATGGTGGTAAGTTCCTGCTGCTTAGGTATGGAAAGAACAAAAAACTCAAGAGGATCACTATTACAAAAAAAGTTATTTTTAGGATGGTAGGTTTACTCATTTTGTAATAAAGAGTTCGGGATACATAAATGCACATTAAAATAAATTAATCTTTAATATTATATAAAAATCAATCTTTGGTCTAGAGGTATTTAAAATATATATACATATTACAATAATAAATTATTAGCATCTTAAAATAATAATATATATATCTATGCTAAAATAATAAATTATAAATAACATTTGTATAATAATAAATTATGATCAACTCCGTGTCTCACACGACACTTATAATGACGCTCTGTGTCCCACACGACACTTATTCGAGTTGTGACGCTCCTTCTCCACCGTGTCACTCGACACCCTTTTCACCGTGTGATGATGCTCCTTCACAACCGTGTCCCTTGACACCCTTTTCTCTGTGTCACCAGACACTCCAGCTCTCTGTGTCACACGACACCCTTTTCTCTGCATCATCCACACCCTTTCTCGACTGTGTCATACTTGACACCCTTGTCTCTGCGACACACTCACTATCGATGTAGCGTCTTTCGAGAGGCCAGTCACATGATACTATTCAATGTACACTACAACCAGGCCATCTTCAGTGTCACAAGACACCCTTTTCTCCTCAGTGTTCCACTATGGTCCTGTAGCATATCTCAGTGTTCCACTCCATCATACTTCCCTAAGTGTCACACTACGGTCCTAGCCCAGTTCAGTGTAACACTCCAACCTTTTCTTCATGTAATGTCCCATTAAAACAGCATCAGATGACTCCGGCCCACAGTTGACCAGCGTAGGCGGTGAGTCCGCAGACATCACCTGTCCTTTAAATACTCTCTAAGGCCGGTAGAAGTACACCGTAAGATGGTCTGGTGAGTACTATCTACCGCCTTCAAGACCAATTGACACACCGCAAGGTGGTCCGATGAATTACTAGCAGAACACCATGCTGCAAGCTCACTGAGTGTGGCCATCAAGTAACTGAGGCCATCAGACTCAGTGAGCTGCGGTGAGCGGCTCTTCTAAAATCAATAGAAGCCAGTAGAATACCAAAAGATGGGCAGGAGAATACTCTCTACTGTAAGGTGTTCTGGTAATTACTGCTGCGGTGCGTACCATGAGGTGTTCAGGTACTTACTGCTGCTAAGGCTGGCTCAGCAGTCCCCACATTGGGTTTGATGACGTACCCAGTGGTACTGCCGGCCAGCAGGTTAACCATTTAACCACTAGTTTGGTAGGGGGCCGCAACAATCACCAAATAGAACAAAAACAACAGGTAAAAGACTTGGAAATAATTAAGTTAGTTACCTTACTAACAATAACAACATACCTGCAGAGGGTTTCAAGGGTCAACGTCCCCTAAGGCCCAGTCTCAGACCAGGCTGTTACTGCTGGCCACAGTAGATAACAACAGCCCAGAGGAGGAGGATGATGGGATGGGTATTGAGACCTTTCAAAACAAGGGAAATAATAACAATGGTGACACTTCAAATCACTAGTGCTCAGTGCTGACGGCCCCGTTCAAAGCACGAAATTATGTCTGGCCTTGAACAAATAGAGATCGTTTATAGCCCACATAGAGCCAGTAAAACATTTAAGGCAACACTGTATCAACAAGACTATTCAACCTCTTACCACTGCCAGAACAAGTGTACAAGTCTTCAACATAAAATTGGACAAGTATCATCTTCACCAGATCCTATATCAACCAGGTTGTCGGACAGTGGGTCTCCGGCAGCAACAGCCTCGTTAACCAGACAAGCACCAGATGAGTCTGGCCCAAGGTTGTGCTCCGAGAGTACCAGAGTTCTCGAGAGGGAACGATGAGCCCTCGGTATCCCTGAGAGTGGATACCTCAAATCGGTGACCGTGGAAATTGGAGTCTGATGGAGAGTGCGTGACGACTCGCCTGCCGAAGGATCTAGCCATTAAAATGGCACATCGCTCAAGTGTTCTCCCGATATTCAACCGCCAGAGCACTAGTGGCCGTGCTCTCTCGCTCGAGAGGCAAGGTCTCGGAGGATCGTGTGGTTGCGGCCTGAGACTACCTCGTTGGTCGTTGTGATTCTTCGTGGCACTCGTATGGGTGAGAGGGTTGTGATCACTGTAGATGGCAACCACACAAGATGACTGCAAAAAAAAAAAAAAAAAAAAAAATGCTCCAGCACAAATATCAGGGCTAACTAGGACTTCCTTTTCGATGGTGGAGCAGGCCCATCGATGGGTCCAATACTTGGCTCACTAATATGCTATAGGCTGCAAACACTGCCCTTCAGACGCTTGTAGTAACGCTGCCCCGATTGCCGACTCTCGGACGTCGACCTGGAACGCACAACATTTTGAAAAATCGGGAGATGGTGGAATGAGTACGGTTCGTAATGCGTGTTTTCGTTGCATTTCTGGAATTAGAAAAGCCGTATGATAGGGTGGATAGGGGAGCAACGTTACAATCGTATGGAATAGGTGGCAAGTTACCGAGTCCTACGGTTTATACGAGCACACTAAGGCTTAGGGTGTGTACGAGAGGGGTACATTGCTTTCCGGCAAATGCTAGTGTTGGGGAAAAGGGTGGAATTAAATTATGAGAAATTAAATACAAAATGGGAGTTGACACAGTTAGTTACTTTTTGCTGGTGATACTATGCTTTTCAGAGATTCTAAAGTGGCAAATGTTAATGGACAAGTTTCAAAGTGAACATAGATAAAGATAGGTTTATGAAACAAGAGGTGAACCACAGAACTGAACGAAAAAAAGGTATTCGTGCATCGAGGTATCTGTGGAGACAGAGACCACTATGGAGGCAAAGAAGGGAATGTAGTAGAGTATAGTAGTACCAGCACTCTTACATAAGTGTAAAACATGGGTTGTAAATGGTGCAGCAAAAAGGAGGCTGAAGGCAGTGGAGATGTTATGTCTAAAGTACAAAGTTAAAGGTGAACAGGTAAGAGTAAGGTGATGAGGGTATCAAACGATTTACACGAGGAAAAAACTGGATATCACATTGGAGGGAGTATGGAAATGGATATGTTCAGATATTTGGGAATTGATTTGTCAACAGATGGGTTTATGAACAACAAGGTTAACCCAACAATTGATGAAGGAAAAAAGTTAAGTGGTGCATTGAGGTGCATGGAAATAAAAAACATTATCCATGGAGGCAAAGAGGGAAATGTACTAAACTATAGTGGTACTAACACTCATATAGGTGTGGGAATGCTGCAGCCAAGAGGAGGCTGGACGCAGTGGACATGTCATGTTTAAGGGCAATGTGTGGTGTATCTGTGATACGGAGAATTTGTCATATTAGTCAGAGGGATGAGGGGGTTATTGAGGTGATTTGCTCATTTAGAGAGGATGGAGCAAAATAGAATAACTTGGAGGGTGTACAAATCTTTAGGGGGAAGGATGGGTAGTGGTCATTCTAGGAAAGGGTGGAGGGAGGGAGGGAGGTAGAGAGATTGTGTGTGCAATGGGAATACAGCAAAAGTGTTCAAGATAAATGGTTTTTGAGACCTGACAAGCTTGGAATGTGAGCAGTATAATATTTTGCAAAGGCGTTTAGGACGACCAGTTAACCAGACATAAAGGAACGGTTTGGAATATTTGTTGTTTGGAGTGACATCTGAAAAGACAGTGATTATGTGTGAATGATGGCAATGAAAATTTTTAATGATGAATTTGTTTCTTTTCTGGAATTTTTTCAAAATTCTGGGATGTAATTGATTAGGCAGAGAGCTCCATCAAGCCTAGCATCTCTATACAGGTATGTACTAGTTTTGATGCCGATTAATACAGACTTGTAAGAGGAAAAAACATCGTCTGAGCTCGAATCAAAATGTGCCAAAATTACGGTGGCCCCTCATTTTTCGTAATTAATCCGTTCCGGAGTGTGTGACTATTGTCGAAACTGATGAGTTGCAAAACCATTTTTCCCATGAGAAATAATGTAAACACAATTAATCCATTCCAAACACCCAAAAGTATCGACAAAAAAATTTTTCTGTTTACCTTAAAGATACATCTGCATGCACAAAACAATAAACATTCAACATGACAGTTACCTTCATTGAAGACTGCTGCTGCTGCTGTTGTTGATGGATGCAAGACATGGAGAAAGAAGAGAGGTTATTGTTTGGAAAGGGAAGGGGGTCCATAAGGACTCTAGCTACCAAGTCCTTATCAGGGGTCACTTCTCTAGCTTATAGATTTACATGCAGAAAAGAATGACAAATAAATTTAAAGCACTAATAAAATGGATAAATGAACATTTAACATCACACTAACCTTCATTCAAGACTTGTTGGTGTATGGCAGAGGGACACGAGACGCCTTAACTGTTGGAGAACGACACCGATATCAACTCGACAGCTTATTTATCTATCGCAATTCAACTAATACGACATAAGAAACAATATTAATAACATAAAAACATGGAATATACTCTAAAATGAACAAGTCATTACGTATGTCACGACTGGTGTTGGGTTGTTGTTGGGCATATAATGACCACCGAGAGCATAAGCCATACATAATAGTGGTGAAGGCTGCAACTGAGGCGGCGCTGTTTCCTGTAGCCCCATACAACTCCAACAGTATTGGAGGAGTTAGTCAAATTGCTGAATCACTGAAGAAGGCACCCTCTACCACTATCACAACTGCTACCACCATCACTACCGCCCTCTACCACGATCACAACTGCTACCGCCACCACTTTCCTGTTTTTCTACAGACTTTTTCTTGAATTGTATCGTGTTTCTCGCATTCTTTACCAGAGGGCTGGCACTAGAAGCTTTCTTTGGAGCCGTGGTACCTTATTTAGCAGTTGTAACCACTAAAACGAATGGAATATTATGAAATGTATTGTATAAACGGGCGAGATCGTCCTCCCTCACTCGTAAGTAATGGCACACCGGCTGGGAACGGAGCATGGGGCCGCTCGAGGCATGGGTGCACGTCTGGGATGAACGACCGCTTGCAAGTCGGACGACGATTCGCGAGTCGACGTTCCGACAAAAAACATGTTACGAGTTTCGAAGATTACAACTTCTGATGCTTACGAAAAACGAGGGACCACTGTGTATGATTTTTATATTTTTAATCAGTATCAATAATAGTGCCTGTACAGTGATTTTAAATATTTTTTTAAAATCCAGCCAAGTATGGCTAAAAATGCTAGACTACAGTCCGGCGATTTTTGGGTGCCAAATATTTTTTTTTTCCTCTAAAAATGGAAAGTAGGTTCAATGGAACTTTGGCTAATCAATTATTTATCTTAATGAGCTGAACAGAAAAATCATATTACATATAAGAAAGGCAAGCTGGTGAAGAATACTGTAGGCTGGGGCTGTGGTTGGAGAATACTGCAGGGTGGGGCTGTGGTTGGAGCATACTGCAGGGTGGTGCTGTGGTTGGAGAATACTGCAAGGTGGGGCTGTGGTTGGAGCATATTGCAGGGTAGGGCTGTGGTTGGAGAATACTGCAGGATGGGGCTGCAGTAGGTGGATAATACAAAATTATTATAATACAAAATCACACATTCTAACCTTTGCAAGAAATAAAAATTTGTATATAAGGAAAGCTTTCACTGTGTTCACACTCCAGTAACTGATGGAAGCCAGGAGACAAACTGGAGAACAATACAGTAAATGCTCTGTATCATCAACTTTCAAAAACACCAAACAAAATCTACTGTATAAATTGCATTTCTCACTTATACTTATACTGTATATACACTGAGGAACTTTAAAATGTTGATGAAGAGATGGAGGCAATAATTTCACGCAATGGCCAGGGACGTATAACATCTTTCACCAGTCGAGAAAAGCAGCACGTGAGTGTGGGGGAGGTGCACGAGGCATTACATACAGTGAAACGGGGTAAAGCAGCTCGAACCGACGGGATCGCGACAGAAATGTTAAAAGCGGAGGCGGGGGGAGGGGGGGTTGTAGTGTTGGAGTGGTTGATATTTTTATTCAATAAATGTATGAAAGAGGGGAAAGTCCCTAGGAATTGGCAGTGTGTGTGTATACTTCCTTTTTTATAAAGGGAAGGGTGAATAAGAGATTGTAAAATTTATACAAGAATAAGTTTACCGAGTTTAGATAGTAGGTTGGTAGACGACTTGGATAGTGTGTCTTTTACATTATACTGCAAATATGTGCAGTATTCCTGTGCCTTCAATGGTTACATGTCTAGCCAGGAAGTAACTGTACAGAAAATGTTAAGTACCAGTCTTACAGACTGGTACTAATATTACATAAGAAAGGAGGATCACTGCAGCAGGCCTGTTGGCCCATATTAGGCAGGTCCCTTACAATCCATCCAGCTAACAAAACATTTGCTCAACTCAATTTTCAATGCTACCCAAGAAATAAGCTCTGATAACTCTATCCACTCATTTGCAAGTCCCACTCAAATCCAACCACCTTCACTCATATATTTATCCAATCTAAATTTGAAACTACCGAAAGTCCTAGCCTCAATAACCCAACTAGATACACTGTTCCACTCATCAACTACCCTATTTCCAAACCAGTACTTTCCTAAGTCCTTTCTAAATCTAAACTTATCTAATTTAAATCCATTACTGCAGGTTCTCTCTTGCAGAGACATCCTCAAGACCTTATTAATATCCCCTCTATTATTGTAGATGAATGGTTCAGAGAACCGACACGTTGATAAATTAGACACGTGTGCAACTCTTATCAATAAAGATACCCAAGAGTTGCACATGTGTCTAATTTATCATCCCCTTTATTAATACCCATCTTCCACTTATACACATAGATCATGTCTCCCCTCATTCTTCGTCTAACAAGTGAATGTAATTTAAGAGTCTTCAGTCTTTCTTCATAAGGAAGATTTCTAATGCTATGTATTAATTTAGTCATTCTATGCTGAATGTTTTCTAACGAATTTATGTCCATTTGATTCTTGGAATTGTGTGCATACTTTATCTACTCTTGAAGTATTTGAAGATATCTGCCAGCACACTGCACACACACACACACACACACACACACACACACACACACACAACACACACACACACACAACGACACACATCAACAATGTGTGTGCACATGCGTGTGTATAATTTATCTTGTCCTGTCTGGAATGGAGATATATTCATAAGAAATTCCATTTGTGTTAATGAAATATGCTAGCCTAAGAGATGTAATTCCAAGTGACAGTACTCCAGTTTTGCTGGAAGAAGCCTCTGAAGCCCGCCCAACAGCGATGAACCCCTAATTTGAATACCTTGAAGATATTTGATGCATGCGATTAGCCTCCCAGATCTGGGTGACATATTTCAGCACACGCTGAGATTCATCCTGTGTGATGAAATGAAAGGTAACGAAAATTAACTTATTCCCACTGTGTAACTGAAATGAATGGGTAAACATACACTGCTAATGTAGACCAATTTTGCCTAAAAGGTGAAAATTAAATCCATCAAAGGGCTACACTCGAGGCCCAGAAACAATGACACCAAATCAATTTTGATGCTATTACTACTGCCTCATCACAGCACTTTTACATTCCGAATCCTTCAAAGGCCTCGCTTCCCTAATTGCCTCACATTTTTATACACAAAACACCTCCTATCCCCCCCTTCTTCGTCCTCTCCCACAAATCCTCAAGCCACAGACTCTCCTCTTCCTTCCTCAAACGTCCATTATATTCACACCATCACAGTGTTCTCAGTGGCACACCAGCTGCCCAAGACAATGGACAATGCCACATTATCATCAAAACCACTCAAGTCGAAAGCAGGAAGAGGAATAACTGGTGAGGAGGAATAGCAAGTACAAAAACAAGAGAATAAAAATTTTTAAAAAAAAACCGGGGGGAAAAAAAAAAATTTTTTTTTGGGGGGGTTTTTTTTTTCCAAAATTAAAAAAATTTTTTTTAAAAATTTTTTAAAAAGAAAAAAAAAATTTTTTTTTAAAAAATTTTTTAAAAAAAATTTTTCCCCCCTTTTTTTTAAAAATTTTTTTCCCCCTTTTTTTTTAAAAAACCCCCCAAGGAACTTTTTTAAAAATTTCCCTTTTTTTTTTTTTTTTTAAAATAAAAAAAAAAAAAATTTTTTTTTAAAAAAAAGGGAAAAAAAATTTTTTTTTTAAAAGGTTGAAAAATTTTTTTTGGGTTTTTGGGGGGTTTGTCAAAAAGGGGGGGGGGGGGGAAAAACCAAATTTTAAAAAAAGGGGGAAAAATTTTTTTTCCCCCCCAAAAATTTTTTTAAAAAAAAAAAATTTTTAAAAAAAAGGGGAAAAACCCCCCCCTTTTTTTAAAATTTTTTTTTTAACAAAAAAATAAAAAAGGGTTTTTTTTTAAAAAAAAAAAAAAAAAAATTTTTTAAATTTCCTGAAAAAAAATTTTTTCCCAAAATTTAAATTTTTTGGGCCTTTTTAAAAAAAAAAAAAAAATTTCCCAAAATTTTTTAAAAAAAAAAAAAAAAAAAGGGGAAAAACCCCTTTGGCCCCCCAAAAAAAAAAAATTTTTTAAAAAATTTTTTAAAAAAGGGGGTTTTTTTGGGAAAAAAAAAATTTGAAAAAAAAAAACCCCGGGGAAAAAACCCCCCCCCAAAACCCCCCCCCCAAACCCTTTCCCCAAAAAAAAAGGGGGGCCCCCCCCCCCCCCCTTTTTTTTTTTTAAAATTTGGGGGGGGAAAAAAAAATTTTTTGGGGGGGGAAAAAAAAAAAGGGTTTTTTAAAAAAAGGGGGGGGCCAAAAAGAAAAAAACCCCCCTTTTAAGAAACCAAACCCCAAAAAAAACCCCCCCCCCAAAAAATTTTAAAAAAAAAAAAATTTTTTGGGAAAAAAGACCCCCCCGGGGGGGGGGGGGGAAAAAAAAGAAAAAAAAAGGGAACTTTTGGGGGTTTTTTTGGGGTGGGGAAATTTTAAAATTTTTGGGGGAGAGGGGCCCAAAAGGCCCTTTAATTTTCCCCAAAAAAAAAAAAAAATTTTGGGGGTTTTTGGGAAAAAAAAATTTTTCCCCCCCCTTTTTTCCTTTCCCTTGGGAAAAAATTTTTTTTTTTAAAGGGGTGGGGGGCCCCCTTTTTTTTTCCCCCCCTTTTTTGGGGGGGTTTTTCCCAAAAATTATTAAAAAGGGGGGGGTTTTAAAAAGGGGTTTTTTTTTGGGGGGGGTTAAAAAGGGGGTTGGGGGTTTTGGGGGGGTTTTAAAAAAACCCCCAAAATTTTTTTAAAAACCCTTTGGGGGGAAAAATTTTTTGGGGGGGGGGGTTTTTTCCCCCCCGGGGGGGTTCTTGGGGGGGGGCCGGGGAAAAAAAAAAAAAAAGGGGGGGTTTAATTTTTTAAAAAAAAAAGGGGGTTTAAAAAAATTTTGGGGGGGAAAAAAGGGGAAAAATTTTTCCCCCGGGGGGAAAAACCCAAAAAAAAAACCCCCCCCGGGGGGGGGGCCCCGGCCCCAAAAAGGGGTTTTCCCCCCCCGGGGGGGGGGGGGCCCCCCCGGGGAAAAAAACCAAAAAAAAAAAAATTTTTCCCCCAAAAAAAAAGGTTTTTTTTTGGGGGAAAAAAACCCTTTTTTAAAAAAAAAAAGGGGGGGGAAGGAAAAAAACCAGGGGTTTTTTAAAAACCCCGGGGGGTTGGGAAAAAGGGGGGGGGAAAAAAAAGGGTTAGGGGAAGGGGAAAAAAAAAAAAGGGTTTCCCCCCCCCCCAAAAAAAAATTTTTGGGGGGAAGGGGGGGGGTTTTTTTTAAAAAAACCCTTTTTGGGGGGGGCCCCCCCTTTCCCGGAAAGGGGGGGGGAAAAAAAAAAAGGGCCAAAAAAAATTTTTTTTTTTTTAAAAAAAATATTAAAAAAAAAAAAATTAAAAAGGGGGAAAAAATTTTTTTTTAAAAAGCCAAAAAAAGGGGGAAAAAAAAAAAACCCCCCAAAAAAAAAAGGGTCCCAGGGGTTTTTGGGGGTTTTTGAAATTTTTTTTTTTAAATTTTTAAAAAATTTTATTTTTAAAAAAGCCAAAAAAAAATTTTTCCAAAAATTCCCAAAAAAAATTTATTTTTTTTTTTAAAAAAAATTAAAAAAATTTTTTAAAAATTTAAAAAAAAGGGGGGGAAAAAAAAGGGGGGAAAAAAATTTTTTTTTAAAAAAAAAAAAAAACCCCAAAAAAAATTTTAAAAAAAAAAAAAAAAAAAACCCAAAGGGAAAAATGGGGGGGAAAAAAAAAAAAAAAAAAAAAGGGGGCCCAAAAAAAAAAGGGGAAAGGGGGGGAAAAAAAAAAAAAAAGTTTTTTTTGGAAAAAAAACCCCATTAAAAAAAAAGGTTTTAAAAAAAAGGGTTTTTTGGGCCCCCCCCCAAAAAAAGTTTTTTTTTTAAAAAAAAACCCCTGGGGAAAAAAAAAGGGGGGGGAAAAAAAAAAAATTTTTTAAAAAAAAAGGGGGGTTTTTTTAAAAAGGGGAAAAACCAAGAAATTTTTTCCCAAAAAAAAAAAAAAAAAATTTTTTTCCCGGGAAAAAAACCCCTTTTGGAAAAAATTTTAAAAAAAAAAAAAAAATTTTTTTAAAAAATTTTAGGGAAATTTTGGGGCCCAAAAAAAAAGGAAATTTTTTTTTTTTTCCAAAAAAAAAAAAAAAAATTTTTTTCCCTTTTTTAAAAAATTTTTTTTTTGGGGGGGTTTTTTTTAAGGGGAATTTGGGGGGGGGGGAAAAATTATTTTTCTTTTAAAAAAGGGGGGGGGAAAAAAAAAAAACCCCGGGGAAAAAAAAAAGGGGAAACCCCCTTTCCCCCCCGGGGGTTTCCCAAAAAACCCCCGGGAAAAAGGGCCAAAAATAACCCCCCCCCTTTTTTCCCTTTTTTAAAAGGGGAAAAAAAGGGGAAAATTAAAAAAAGGGGTTTAAAAAGGGCCCCCCCCAAAAAAAAAACCAAAAAGGGGGGGAAAAAAAAACCCCGGGGGGGTTTTTTACTTTTTTTTTTCCCCCCCCCCTTTTTTTTAAAATTTAAAAAATTTTTTCCCCCTTTTTGGGGGCCAAAAAATTTTGGGGCCCCCCCCCCCTTTTTTTTAAAATTTTTGGGGGGAAAATTTTTTTAAAAAAAATTTTTTTTTCCAAAAATTTTCCCCCCTTTTAAAAAAAAACCCCCCAAAAAAAAAATTTAAAAACCCTTTTTTTTTCCCCCAAAAAAAAAACCCCCCAAAAAAAAAAAGGAAAAAAAGGGCCCAAAAAAGGGGGGGGAAAAAAAAGGGGGGGAAAAAAAAAAAACCCCTTGGGAAAAAAGGGGCCCAACCCCAAAAGGGGTTTTTTTAAAAAAAAAAAAAATTTGACCCAAAAAACCCCCAAAAAAAAAAAGGGGAAAAAAAAAACCCCCAAAAAAAAAGGGGTTTTTTTTTTTAAAAAAAAAAAATTTTAAAAAGGGAAAAAAAAAAATTAAAAATCCAAAAAAAGGGGGAAATTTTTTCCCCCCAAAAAAAAAAAATTTTTTTAAAACCTTTTCCCCCTTCCAAAACAAGGGAAAAAAACCCCAAAAAAAAAAAAAACCCCGGGGGTTTAAAATTTTTAAAAACTTTTTTTTGGGGGGGGGAAAAAAAAAATTTTTAAACCAAAAAAAAAAAAAAAAATTTTTTTCCTTTTTTTTTAAACCCCCTTTTTTTTTTTTAAAAAATTTTTGGGGGCCCTTTGGGGGTAAAAAAGGAAAAACCCCAATAAAAAAAAAGGGAAAAAAAATTTTTTTAAAATTTTTTGGGGAAAAAGGGGGAAAGGGGGGGGGGGGAAAAAAAAAAAGGGGTTAAAAAAGGGGGGAAAAAAAGGGGGAAAAAAAAAATTTTGGGGGGGTTTTTGGGGAAAAAGGGTTTTTTTAAAAAAAACGGGGGGGGGGGGGAAAAAAAAGGGGTGAAAAAGGGGTTTAAAAAAAGGGAAAAAATTTTGGGAAAGGGAAAAAAAAAATTTTAAA